CAGGGAAGGAAGTGTCTAAGACAGAAAGTAAGGACAAAGACAGTGTAAAGAAGGACCTGGGGAAAATGGTTATTGAGGAAGTGTGGTACATCTGCGGAAACAGCACATGTTACAGAAATAGGTGAGAATTTTCCAGCAGATTTTTAGGAAACAAAAAGATCTTTGTTTTGGAATGTTGTAGATACTAATTGCCAAGTATGGATAAGCAGAGGTGGTGCTGTCCAAAAGATTTGCCTGAGTTTTGTGGAACCTGAAACAGGTGATGTTCTCAACAGCCTTCCACTGTGCAAAGTCTACTCTTACACATGTACACAATTAATGGATGTAACCTGTCGTTCCACATGAGCATGCAGGGACTGACTTACCTGAAATACTTCTTTAATAAGACAAATCCAGGCCTTGTGGTTCTGCTGCTGTGTCACCACTTGTAAAGACTTCCACTGTGAATTTCCTATAATACTGCACTTGCCCTCTTATGAGGGATGAAAGTTACAGTGGTCTGTGTTTCCTTTTTATAAAGTGCTACAGATAGTGTCTGCTGCTCAATTCCTTATTCAGTCATCACAAGGTAACTATTATCTATCTCATTAAACATAGGTTAACAGACACCCCTGTGAGTGAATAAGTAGCACTAATGATATTTGAACTAAGTCAAGGATATTCACAGATGCAGATTTGACTTTGTTTCTTTGCTTTCTGAGACAGGGTCCCACTACATAGCCTTGGCTGGCCTGGAACTAGCTGGCCTGGAATGACAGAGATCTGCTTAACTCCGCATCCAGAGTACTAGGTTTAAAGGGTTGCACCAGTAGCTCAGATGTTCCTGTCATCTGAAGCTGTTTTCGTCATCATTAGAACAAAGGGTAGGCAAACAAGGCACTTCAGAAATGATAGAATTTGTGAAATCCCTGCATGTTCATGGTTCTTTCTTTCACTTTGTGCTGATAATAAATTTTAAGTTTGAAATAGAGGTAGTACTATATTTTTCTGTATTTTAATTGGAAAGTAGAGCTGTTTGACAATTGTTAGCTACCAGAAATGAGACCTATGAAGTACGGACTCTTAGAGAATAACTTCAGGGTGGTCAGCTGTGTACCTAAAATGTGCTGTGACATCTAGTTTTTAATTTCAGAAACTAAAATCACATATGGCTAGGAGCACATGTTTAATTTTCAGTGTACCAAGTGACAAATAGGATGAGTAAACATTTATGAATATCCTCCACCACCATAACATTTCATTTGACCTTATAAGCTGTGCACAGGATTGGACCTGAAGAAACTTAAGACAGTTCCTGATGGGAAGTGACTCTCTTCAAGAGCTTCATGATACATGAGTGCACTATTTGTACCAAGAAAGAAATATGGAGTAACCTTAATTTAGTGTAAATTAAAGACCATTCTCAGGGGAAAGGCTGCTTGGCCATGGCATAAAGTTAGCACGGTGGACATAACCAAAGTTTGTAGAGGTAAGCAGCAATCCCGGCCTCAACCCAATGCTCAGATCCAAAAGGCAGCTTGCTGCCAGCATTACTGTCTTTGTTTTGAGTTTGTTTTCTGTAACATCCACAAATGTTATAGGCTTCACAACTCTAACTTTTGTATCATGCCTCTACAATGGCCTTCATTTCCCACTTCAATGATGAGACAGAAATGATCCAAACCTACATGATTGGAGAGACTCTGCAGAAACACCAGACTGCCTGCGCCCAGTATTTTAAATTTATAGAGCCATGGCATAAAGCTTGACATTTGAGTTTTGGAAACTGTATCAAATTTTGCAATGAGAGTTTGAGGTTAGATGAGAAGTCAATAGAAAAGGATAACAGGGTTATCAGCAATATCCAGAATGGACACAGTCTGAATTGGGGGCAAACACAAACATAATAACATTTATAATGTATTTAGAGACCCAGCACTGTGATACGTACTTGGAGTCCCATCATTACTCATGCACACTTACCACTAGAAAAAGTCCCTGTGTGCAAACAAGAATACTCAGAATGGAACAGGACAAGCTTCTTTCCACAAAAATACTTCCTAAATGTCCAAACTTTCAAACTACTTAATATTAAACTGGTCCATTTTATAGCTTTCCATAAGAAAAATGCTATGTAAATCTATAAAATTATAATCGATTTCATGTATGTCCAGATCTTTCCTGAAATGTGCTGATGGTCTTCACACTCCTTATTAGGCAGGAAGGCATTGAGAAGAACAGACTGCTGTGTAGCTGAAGCAGAAAAAATGAATAAGCACACATCCAGGATTTTTACACAAAAGTTAGGACAAATTCTCTTTAAATCTTTAGGTTTGTCTTATTGCCCCCAAATTATTAAAAATAAATCTTGAGCTTTCAATGAATCCTTTTTTTTTTCCTTTGTGGTTTTTTGAGATAGGGTTTCTTGTGTAGGCTTGGCTGTCCTGGACTTCATTTGTAGACCAAGCTGTCCAAACTCACAGATATCTGCCTGCCTCTGCCTCCCTGAGTGCTGGGATTATAGGCATGTGCCACCATGTCCAACTGTATGTTTGGATATTAGCATACATTTTTGAGAAACAAATATAAGTTTATTAAAAATTACATATCATTACATCTAATAGGAAATGCATGTGATCTTATAAAATCTTTTTATCTATCATCTATCTATCAATCATCTAATCTATCATTTATTAATCCATCGATCTATCACGTATCACATTACTAGTAAAAACTAGAAAATAAATGAAGTTATTTATGTTTTATGTTTTACACAGAAGCATCACGGCCCCCAAATCCATTTAGTTCTAAGTTAATAAACTTGTATGTGTCTTACTCAAGAGCGTAATTCTGATGTGATATCTTTTAAATTGGTTATCCAGGAAAAACCATAAACATTGAAAACAGGTACGACCCACACAACCCAAGAATGTTACTTATTTATTTGTTTTTAAAGAAGTTCTATTATGTATCTCTGAATGTTTTGGAACTCGCTGTGTAGAGAAGGCTAGCCTTCCACCCACAGAGATATGCTTGTCTGCCTTCTGAGTGCTGGAATTAAAAGCACATGCCACCATGTCCGGCCTCCGGAAAAGATATTTTGGAAATAAGTAGTAACTATTAAATAATTGTTAATACATTTGCAAATAAATTTTGGTGTTTATGTGTAAGGTTACAAACTTGAACAGCCTTGATTTCTTCTTTGTGAAATTGACTCCATGGCTCCTCCTCATTGTTGCTTAGAGGTTGTGTGAGGGTTAGATGTCAAAGCACACTAAAAGCATTGGATAAAACCTAAAATGTTTGTGGCTCACTGTGTGTCACCTTAGGATGCTGAGTACTGTCAGCTGAACAGCACTGGGTGAGTCTCAGACATTGTCTATATTAACGTTTCCAATCTAATCTTCTCTTTATCACAGAGAGCCATAGGAACTAGATATTCCTCAAAGCAGCCATAACACTCACCAATAAAGCACTGTCCCCCTCTGTGGGTCTTTGGAAGGGCTAACCATAAGGTCACGCCCTGACCTACAATGGCTAATCGCAGGTTATAGATACAATGTTCCAGAGGTGAGAAGCCAAACCTCAGTATGGGGGCATGCCAGAAAGGCCAAAGGGTGATGGCATAGGCAGGTCCTTCTGAGTGTCCCCTTAGTCAGTTGTGACACCTTGTTCTTCATTCAATCATATTTACACGGAGTTGTTTATTCTCTATTCAAATTACTTATAACAATGACAGTTTTCTCCAGGTATTTGGGGCTTCATGTGTGACGGGTCCAGATGTTTTCTTAGGGCTCAGGGGACTGTGGGTTAAAGAGCACTGAAGCAAAGGCAGGAATAGCATTTGTCAAAATGCGCCAGAATCATGTGCTACATACAAACACCAGTTGACATAATCAGATCGTTTCCTGTGATTCTAAAGGCAAGAGTAAGTGCACCTCAGCACGCGTCATTTCTCACTACTCGCAATAAAAAGCACTTCACTTCCACCTTTAAGAAAATTTTTATATCAGTAAAAGTAAAACTCAAATTTCCACTTAAGGTGATCATTACAGTTAAACTGGTTAAAATGTAAATATATTTTACACATATAATTTACACATATAATTAATCTTATTTTACTGACATATTATTATACTTACTTGTAAAAGCCCAAGTGTCTATTCCAGTACTGTAGGTGATAAAGCAGATAGATAAAGAGAACAAATCAAAGGCCTTTATTCTCTCTTTTGGGTGAGAATGAATGGGCTAATTTGCTTTGGTGCTATAAGGAATTCTCATGATCTTAATTCCTCAGCACAAAAAAATTCTATAGTTTTCAAGATAACAAGTCTGCAATGAATTGCCATGGGTTAAATCAAGGAAGCTGGGGCAAACACTCTCTTATCCTTTATTCTGCAATTTCTATGACTACTTACATTCCTCTTTTGACTTCCTTGCTTCATTGGTAAAAAGACCCAAGTATTAAAATCTGTGATAACAAATTTAATCTCTCTCTATTTATATCGGTAATTTAGTCACATCAGCAAAGTCTCCTGTGACAGAAGATAGTTCTCATAAAGACGAGGAATTCAGAACAGAGAATCCCTGGGGATAGCTATCCATCTATCCACATTCTCAGTGGATTCCAGTTTCTAAAGTTCAGATTTTAATCAGATAGACCTGTGATTGAATTTGTTAGTAAACTCTTGTTAAGACTGAAAGGTCACCAGTAAATGTATGTGTCAGAACTGTCACAATATATGCTCTGTTTTGCCAAGACCTACCAAAGACAATTCACCTAAATACTTAATGGCCATAAATAGACTTATAGAAGCTTTAAATTCATTAGAATCAAATCTGCCTTTGACAACAAATAGACATATGTTCTTGTATTAAGAGGTAAGAAAATAGTGGGAACCCACTCAGCCAAGATCAATTCTTCATTAAAAAGTCCAGCAAGTACAATTAGTACAAGAAATATTTTTGACATGTTAGGTGTTGGGATAGCAGTTTAGAGGGGAAACAAGAAAGATGCTTACCTTAAATAACAAATCTTTCTTCCCATAACGGAGCTCTTTCAGTTGAGCTTGGATTTTTTTGGACTGTAAAAGCAGAGATATGAATTAGTGCTTATGCTCACTTGTATTTTCAATCTTAAAGATTTATTTTTTTTCACACTGCGCAGTAGTAAATGTTTCAGCTGAGTCAAAGAGAATCCCATAATTTGGATAATCAACATAGGAGAGTAAACTTAGCTTTGGCATCAAACATGTAGACATCTGGGTCAGGAAGTAAGAATTCAGTCTGTTCAAAAAATCATATATTTACAAAAGTGTTATCTAAATAAATGTTCTGTCTTTTACTCTACACCCAACCACAGGAAATACCTGTAATTCAGGCATGACAAACAAACTAATTATAAGTGCCAAGTGCATGTGTGATGTATAAAGGCAGTTATCTCTGTTTTTATTTACTTGCTTTTTAAGATCAGTGATGGTTGAGTGTAAATGGATAGCCATGTTTTCATTCACTGTATTTTCAATGGAGACCAGCACACAAATGAACAGAATGTCAAATTCCATGATTCAAGCGTGAGTTGTGTTGAAGAGGATCGTATTTTTAACAGGGTCATTTTAAATATAAAAAGGTTAAAGGAACTCAATTGCTTCCAGTGACACATTGCTACACTCATTTATCTGAATACTGATAACTTATCTGTAACCCAGAGAAGACTATGTATCCTCAGCCTTTTAGAAAAGACACAGTTACCAGTACTGTAATGTGAGTACCTCAGTTCACTGAGTTCCAGCTCTTGAAATAATAGCTCCTCATGTTTTACTGGGGAGAAACATTCACACGGGCATACATACATGCACATAACCAGATGATCACGGGCAAATGTACAAAATACAAGAAAGAATAAGAGGTGCTTACTTCTTTAGTGCACATTCTAAAATCAGAATAATGGGAAGACTGGCATCCTGTATGATCTGAAATTACTTGAAAATGAATTTGAAAGTGAATTTGAAAGGGAGTAGAGATTAAGAGCATGGGAAAAGGGGAAGGAGAAGGGAGGGAGAATGATCTAAATATTTTATTTAAATTAAAATAATATTTCTTTAAAAAAAAGAAGTTGATAAAAGAGCCAACTGTTCGAAGATTTTGTTTTTTTCTTTTTTAATTTTTATTTATTTTATTTATTTTATTTAATTTTATTTTTTTCTTATCAGTTACATTTTATTAACTCTGTATCCCAGCCGTGTCCTGCTCCCTCATTCCCTCCCAATCCCACCCTCCTCCCTCATCTCCACCGTGCCCCTTTCCAAGTCCACTGATAGGGGAGGACCTCCTCCCCATTCATCTGATCCTGTTTTATCAGGTATCTTCAGGACTGGGTGCGAAGCCCTCCTCTGTGGCCTAACAGGACTGCTCTTCCCTGAGGGGTGGGGAGGTCAAAGAGCCAGTCCTTGAGTTCCTGTTAGAAATAGTCCTTGTTCCCCTCACTATGGGAAACCACATATTAATCACAGGTTATTTACTTTGTATCCCAGCCGTAGCCCCCTCCCCCATTCCCTCCCAATCCCACCCTCCCTCCCTCATCTCCTCCCTGTCCCTTTCGAAGTCCACTGCTAGGGAGGTCCTCCTCCCCTTCCATCTGACCCTAGCTTATCAGGTATCTTCAGGACTGGCAGCAAAGTCCTCCTCTGTGGCCTAGCAAGCCTGTTCCTCCTTTGGGGGGTGGGGAGAGGTAAAGGAGCATCCTTAGTGAGGTATCCCAGGAGCAGAAAGACACACATGGTATATACTCACTTATATAGTCCTATAAGATAGGATAAATAAACTAAAATATGTGCACCTATAGAAGATAAACAAGAAAGAGGACCCAGGATAAGATGATCAATCTTCACTTAGAAAGACAAATGGGATGGACATGGGAAGTAGGAGAAAACAAGAAACAGGACAGGAACCTACCACAGTGGGCCTCTGAAAGATTCTACCTAGAAGTGTATTGAAGCAGATGCTGAGACTTGTAACCAAACCTTCGGCAGAGTGCAGAGAATCATATAAAAGAAGGGGGGGGGGTTAATATGACCGGACAGGAGCTCCACAAGGACAAAATATATCATGGCACGGGGGTCTTCTATGATATTGTTTCTCCAACCAAGGACCATGTATGGATATAACCTAGAACCCCTGCTCTGATGTAGCCCATGGTAGCTCAGTATCAAAGTGGGTTTCTCTAGTAAGGGGAACAGGAATTATTTCTGACATAAATTCAATGACTAGTTCCTTTTGTTTTGTTTTTAACAGTATCTCTTTTCTACCAAAAGATACCCTCTTTTCTTGAAAGAGGCAGTGAGTGCAAAATGTCCTATGCTTAGAAGACCAAAATTTTCTAGTGATAACATAGGATTGACAATTGTAATTAAAAAAGAACATTTCCATGTAACTGTTTTATCTCTGGAACTTACACTTTCATGTTGGAATTAATATTTCCTAGAACTGTTCTTCAAAGTTTCCCAAGTGTTCCAAAATTATGATAACTGGTTCAGAGGCTTTTCTCACACTAACTTTTTCTCTATGATGATTCTGATTTGCATGGCTGTCCTTACCCATGCCACTCATTTTAGTAAAGGACAATCCTGTTCCAGTCTGGAACTCAGATCTCTTAGTTAAGCCAAAGAATCTCTCAGAGAAACAGTCGTTCTCTCAAATAGTGTTGGTAAGTGTGGGTGGGGGTCAGCAGCTTGCTACTGTACATAGTATGTATTTGCATAGCCTGTCCAATGCCATCTTCACTCCTCCTGATTCTTAGTGCTCTAGTGTTCAGGAGTCAAAAAGGACTAATTTTAACCATTTATAATCTGTTTTTCATAGGAGGTGTACAATATGATTTAAAATTTTTGTTATACCAATCAATATTTAAAGCTCCATTTGATAGTGGTTTTAGTAAATGAAACTATAATTAAATGGAGACTTTTCCCTATTTTTTTCCTGCAATTAGTGACCATAATGGTAGACTTCTTGGCCTTTGTTGTCATGAAGACAGCATGAATTGTTCATAGTCCCATGTTGTCTGCGTTTCACAGTATAAACCTAATTGTCAGTATATAAGTGGAATTCTTTCTGATGTTTTCACAAAGATTATACAAAAACAAATATATCTGAAGGAGTATAGCTATTGTGGAATGTATATTAATTTGAAGCCATATAAACATGCTGTTTTAGCTTATCGGCAATATTTGGATAAGTTAAAATTATAAAAAAAAAGAGATAAGTCTCCAACAAATGATATGCTATTTGGAATCTCAGTAATTTTATTTTTACTACATAGATAATTGTAAATGTGATTTCAAATATCAGATCATAAGGACTATGGAGTGTCTGCATGTGCATGAGCTAATTAAAGCTGGGAATAACTATAATGACAGCTAGAAGAAAATGATGATGAGGATGTAGGCAGCCATGACAGAATATTTTAGCTCCTTAGTCTCATTTAAGAGACAACTGTCTAATCTGAGAGTCTTTCCTACAAATTTATGTTCAGATAACCCTCCCTTTATGAACTAATAGTCATGGTGATGGCAGATGGTGTTGATAGTATTTTCTGTTTGTAATGTTTGTTGTGTAACTATTTCATCTGAATTGAAACATTAGTTCTCAGAGAGAAGAAAGAGGCTCCTAAGACTTGGGGAGCTAATAATTGTTCACCGCACTCAGGAAGCCCAGGAAGTTAGTAGACTCCTGGCAGGCTCAGCAAGGTCATATAAACAGTGGCAATTGCTGGGTAGAGGGGAATCTCTAACCCAATATGCTGTCTTCAATCGTGCATGAAAGCGATAGATACAGCTTTTTTGAGCTGTTGCCCATGCTGTGCTGAGAATTTCAGTGGTGCAGCTGCCTTTATTCATTCTGTTTCAAGTGTCTTATGTGCAGTGAATACATATTTTGTCCACCTCTTCCCCAGAAAAAGCACAGCACACGGTCTTCTATGCCAAATCATAGTGGATTTCATTCCTGCATGAATACAGAATTGAGAGCTAGTGACCCAAATCATGAGCTCTAGTCAGCTCATCCCCAGCAGAAAAGATTGTCATTTTGTTTTGAGTAATATTGATGAATCAAACAATACAAATTTGTATACATTATTTTAAAATATTGCTGTGACAGTGTAAACATCTCCCTTGCTACCTAGAATATTAAGCTCTAATATTGTTCTACACATATTAAACAAGATAAGGGAAAATGAATAATTTATATAAACTTCCTCATTTCCCCCATTAAGGATCTGAGGAACACAGTAATGAACAAGTGAGATTTAATCTTCATTGAGCCAAGGGAAATAGGAACATTCTTGAATGAAGAGGTTAAGCCGTAAAGGTAGAAACTATTTAATTTTCTGCATCAATGATGCTTCCTGTGCCCCTTTCTGCCATGTACTTTACTTTTGTGGGGATCCTGGCAACATGTTCATTGTCGTGTAATGCAGCTTTTCCCGCTATTTGTCATTTCTTGAGAGTCTTACATGGCTCAGGTCTCCTTCAAGAATCACTATTCTAGTTGAGAATGACATTTAACTCCTGATCTTCCTGTCTCTGTAGCCATGTGCTGGTACTATAGGTGTCTGCATCACATCTGGCTTAGACCCTCCTTATTCAAAATATTACCCCACTTCCTATATCACAGTATTCAGAAATTTCAAAATACACCTGATCTGTATTTCAATGATCCCAGTAATATGAACAAGGTCATGCTTATTTCTGTCCAAGTAGAGCAAAATGCAATGAATTGAAACACTTCCCTGGATCAGATCTACGAACTACTCTTTTTTTTTTTTTTCTTTTCAAGGAGGATCAATATTTTGCTTTCCATCCATTGTGTATATTTTTATTGGAAACTTTGTGGGTGGCATATAGATGTCACAAGCATAAGTAAAATGGAAGGGGAATCTAGTCATTTCTACTGGAGAGATTCAATCTATACAAATGAGATAGGAGTTAGAAAGTAATTTATGAACATGGCATTGGATGCACTTTTAATTTTTTCATTTGTGCAATGTTGGAATAAGTAGGTACATGTAAAAATAAAAATGTAGATTATTTTGTATCCAGTGTTTTTATTTGTGTTAAGGGAAAAGCTATTGTTTTTTTAGATTATGCAAGATTCAATTTAATATTAATTTTAAGCAGTTAAACTTACAAAAAGGTCATATTTACTTACCTCTTCTGCATGAATACCACACAGCTTGCTTCCTGACAACAATTTGTTTTTCAAGCTTTTATTCTGAATAAAAGAAAGAAAATTTTACTCAAAAAATGATAAAGTATTAAGAATTTCTTTAATTAATTTAGTATATCACTCTGTTTGGCTCACAGTTTAAAGATATATGTTATCTAAAGAATTTGTAGGAATATACTATTCATTTGAAAATCATTTTCAAGTTAAAAAACCCCTCATAACTTAGTACTAGGATAGTCACTCAAAACAATACAACTTTGGCCAATGAGATGGCTCAGTAGGCCAAGCTACTTGTCACCAAGTGTGAAGACATTGGTCCCTAGGACCCACATGATGGAAAGAGAAAACTGATTTCCCAGAGGTGGTCTTCTGATCTCCACAAGCATACCAGAACACAGGGAGGACAGGCATGTGCGTGTTCACTTGTGTGTGTGTGCACACACACACACAAACACACACACACACACACACACACACAGTGGGCACACATACAGAAGTAAAGAAAAAGGTTAAAATATAAAGCATTATCTAACCTTTTTACTTACTTATGTTTCTTTAGTTTACATGTAGTTTTATAAAATAATCTCAGCTTTACATCAGCACACCATGCTATCTTCTGCAAGCATCTTTCCTATGGCATCTGCATAAGGGCTACTTTATTCCCTATTACAATAAAGCCACACACTCAACAGTTCATCTGCATTTCCCCTTAACTTATGGATAGCCTTCACATTTAAGTTCTCTTCATGTTTGAAAGCCAGTTTTCATTCTATTCCACAGAAATGAGTGATTTGCTAATCTTATAAATCATCTAACATTGGTAGAAGCTGGTAGGTAAACATTTAATTCTCAGACTCTTCCTGGCTATAGGAGAGCAACAGGAGTTGTGTGTGATGTGGACTGAGCACTGGGGCCGGGGCATGCTTGTGGACTGCTCTACTGCTGAGGTAGGGGTCTCACAAACATTCACGTCCATTTGAAAGGTGTAGAGAAATCTATGTGAAAACGAAGTATTTGTATCTCCATCCCTAAATGTTAATCTTATTGTCTCTCCTCCTTTGAGGCTCCATTTGTCAGTTCATCAAAGAGCCAGTTTCAGTTCCTCTCTAATGTTTTCACTTTCTCACTGAATTTATGTCATACACACACACACACACACACACACACACACACACACACCCCCAAAAAACTAACACAAGAGTCTCACTCATTCCATTGAAAACCTCACAGAGATTAGAAACTACAAAGACAGCAGGTTTCAAAGCTCACCAGTCTTTATCCTTCCTTAATGAGACTTTCAGCTAGAGTCAAGTTAGGCTGTCACAGTTCCTAATCAAGGCTGCCTAATAGGCAAGTTACACTATTGTGTAAGCTCACACTATGCATGCAATTCTACAGTCATTTTAGTTTTTGTTAGTGTCTGTGCAATTTTCTCCTTGTACGTAGTCAGAGCAATACTCTTTCCGCTGTTTGCACCAAAAGACAAAGAGAGAAGAGAGAGTGAGGAAAGAGACAGAGAAAGTGTGGAAGGAAGGAGGCAGGAGGAAAAGAGGGAAGGAAGAAGGAAGAGAGAGAGAATACCTACACGGCAATCTTTTTTATTTAAAAAATTTTATATAATTTATTTTCATCCATGAATTACTTCAGGAACCAGGAAAATAAAAAGGAGTCATTACCAGGGCAGGGAAGCAGGAAAGCAATTAAGAGAGGGAGATAGAAGGGTACAAGTGATATGGTCTGGGTAATGGGAAAAGCAGCTTTAATTAGGAATGAAGAAGGGAGGGGAATACTGAAGAAGGAGGTTAAAACAACAGTAAGGCTGTTTGAAGAGTCATGAGGAATTATACCATTAACTATTTACCTTAAAGAAAACATAAATGTAAGTCTGTGCATAAACATACATATATAATTTAAATAAAATGCTCTCGTCTGGGCTGACAATGTCCCTTCCAACAGTCAAAGACTACCTAACAAAAATATCATCAACATGCTGGGATACAAAAGATCTGTAGCTCCTTTCTTCAGCACAAACCCTGACCTAGCTGTACCCATCTTACTGGAGAAGTGCAGATATGATACAAAACCTAGAAGAAATGTCTTCGAGGGCAAAATGAGGCCCAAAGGGCTGGGAAGTGCAAAAGAAATAGTTCAAATAACAGAGGTAAAAGATATTGTTTGCAGAATGAAAAATTGAAATCAGGGAGTCAAAAACTCTGTTTGAACAGTCCCTCCTGTAATGTTATTTCTACCAGCTAGCTAAACAATATATAAACAACAGTGGAAAAATATTGTTCCTTCATGATTGCCTAGGAAACAGGTTGGCTAACTACAGATCTTTAATTTTCCTTTTTTTTTTTCTTTTTCTTTTTTAAATCCCCAAGTCTCATCCCCAGATCTGCAGCAGCCCACTTTCAGAACTTCCTACACATCCACATCTCCATCAGATCACATAAATCATCTCTTAATCACCCTTCCCCACCCATTACTTTATTCCTGCCCCCAACTCCAACAGGCAATCTCTGGGAAGCCACAGGACACTGCACTCTGCATGCAGGCTGACTGCAGATCTTCACCTCTTCCTCCATTCCTTCATGTTTAATTCCCGATCTCATCCCAGCTCAGTAGCATATCCTGATGGAATACTCTGCTTTCCTTCCTCCTGTTGATCTTCCCAACAGCACATTGTCGCCCCCACCCCCCCCGCATCTCTAGCTAAAATCCATTTCTATGTGTCAGCTTCTAATACCCAGGAACACATTTTACCTGGAACTCCCAGTGGCCACACCTATCAGGAGTTCAACAGAGACCAAACAACAAAACTCTCACCAAATAAAGACACAAAATATCAGCTCCTCGAATTCTATCTTCCCAGTCTAAGATGCCAGCATGAAAACACAAACATCTGATAATATGAGTCTATCAGAGCTTAGCAACCTACCACAGCAGATCCTGAGTATTCCAACACAGCTGGAGGACAAAACAAATAAACAAACACCTCCAACAACAAACAACCTCTCCCCCTCAAAAGACCCCAAAAAAAATCTCAAAATAGTCCTTATGTGATAGAGGTCCTTAAATAAAAAATGAATAAAACGCTTAAAGAAATTTATAAAAATGTAACAAACAGTAAAAGGAAATGAATTAAACTGCTCAAAAACTAAAAACTAAAAAAAAAAAAAAAAAAAAAAAAAAGGTAAATAGAACCAATAAATAAAACCCCCAGAAAGGAAAATTTGAAAAAGAGAAATTTAGGAACCCAAACAGAAAACTCAGAGAGAAGCTTTACCAATAGAATGCAAGATATTGAAGAGAGAATCTCAGGCATTGAAGACACAAAGAAGAAATGCATATCTCAGACAAAGAAAATATTAAATGAAAAAAACATTCTGTCACAAAATATTCAGGAAACTTGGGATAAAGACCAAATCTAAAAATAATAGGAATAGAGGAAGGAGAAGAAGAAGAAGAAGAAGAAACCTAGGTCAAAGTTTCACAAAATATTCTCAACAAAATCTTAGAAAAAAAATTTTCTAACTTCAAGAAGAAGATATCTCTAAAAGTACAAAGAGCATACAGAACATGAAATAGACTGGATCAGAAAGGCAAACCTATGAGTTACATGTGCCTTCTCCATGGAGAGTCTAAAAAACAGAAGGGCCAGAACAGATGTACTACAGAGTCTTAGAGACCACAGATGCTAGCTCAAATTACTATACCCAGCGAGACTTTCAATCACAATAGTTGGAGAAAAAAAAAAAAAGTCATTTCCCGATAAAACCAAATTTAGGCGAATCCAGTTAGACAGTAACTTTCTGGGCTCAGCCCAAGCCAAGTATTTGTAAAGCTTAGGTATGGCTCTCATCTCATCCCTCTATCTGAGGAAATAAAAACAGCATGTACAAGAGACAAATGAATGAAATACAAATGTTAGTTACATAGGCATTGACAGAGAATAGTTTAGCTCCATATCATCTTCTGGATGTATATACATATTGTTTATGTGAGAAAAACTATTTGAAAGGAAATACACAAAATCCTGCCCTAAATTTTAGAAAAATGATAATAATCCATACACTTGTATAAAAACACATATGTAGATGCGCATGTGCTTGCATAAGATTACATGGAAATGACACAACCTGAAAGGCTTTTAAATATGTAATGTAATATTACCTAAAAATACAGAAATATTAGTATCCATATTTTGAATTGAAGTGGATGAAACTTATATGTGCAATTCAATCTAAAAGACAATGAACATTTCATATGATTATTATATTATGTTTCCAGAATATACATCACTATTTTGATGGAATTTTGTATTTTGCTGGGGTTTTTCAGAACCAAACACCAACCATGTGAAAATGTCCATATGTAAAGCAACATGGGTTGAGCTATGAATAGTCTGTGCACACATGTAAGTGTGTGGATATACAGGTTCTGAAATTTGCTGCATATTATATCACCTAATGCTACCTTTCGCTGTGCTTTTTTCCCTGCTGTTTATAATTGGTTTTGTGTTCCTTTCAACTCAGGCTGAATGTGTGCCTGATATTTTGATGTCTCCAGTGCCAGAAACAGTATCCTTCCTATCTGTTCTCAGTGGATGTGAATCAATAACATTTGTGAGTGGGGGAAGAATGAAAGGAGAATTGCTAATGGAGACTATGCCATTCCTAATGGTAAGCCTGAAGATCCATCACCACAAGGGGCATGTCTGCCCTACCTCTTGATCTGACCAGAGCTGAGCATCCTAAACACAGATGTTCAAAATAGCAATTCTACAATCTTTGTTTCTGTAATGATTCTTGGGAATGTGAAAGAATTAATAACATAAATATCCGATAAATTAGGTAATAAACATTTTCCAAGTACATTGAGACATGGAAACCATGATTGACAAATGTGTTATTTAAGGTTCACAAGTTTTCATTTAGTGCCAAGGAACATGGAATGTTGACATTTCTTCTGTAACCACTGACAGTTCCTAGCATCTGTTTTAAGTTCAAAAGCTGTGATTCTTGTGCTGTTATCTAGCGTAGCCT